AGCAGGAATGCTCTCCAAGCAGAGAGAGCACACGGTTGCAGTGGAATGCTTAAAGAACGTGATTCCTAAACTTGTGAAGAAGTTCTTAAGGCCACGGAATCAGAGTCCACTGAAGTACCAATGGAAAAAGGACAGAAAGATTAGTTTCATCAATTTGATTATTAAATTAGTTCAGTTCACTGAACGCTGGGGGAGGGAAACATAAAAGAGGGGGGAGATGTTTTCTCTCTTCTAATCTCTGAATAAAAACAACACAAGGGAGGATGAGTTATGCTCATTCTAAGATCTGGAAGGACACAATGACCAAAAACAACCAGTCCGTTTTGCTGAGTACAGATAACACTGCCTTGTTACACTAAAACAGTTTCAACAACAACACACTCCAGCAAGCATATTTTCTCTTCAGTATCGAGCCCTTGATTATAGTCTAGTTATAAAATATTTAGTTTTGCATGTTTTTAATTTGACCTTTTTATTCAAATGCAGTTTTGCACAAGTCATAAGGAAAGGAATTACTCATCCAGTAAAACCAAGTGACTATTTTCTAACGTAAACATTTACTGTGATATAATAGCATAACGCGGATGCATGTATACACTATCATCCTGCTTAGCAAGAAATATTAATAAATTAGCTTCGCCAATGAGAAGGTACCTTCCTTTTAGGAAAACACCAAATGCAAAACCAGGCTTACGTGAATAACTTAAATCACCCACCTGAGATTTAAAAGCAGCAAGTTGGAAGCCTGGCTTTAAACCACTCAGCTTTGTTTCACAGCTGGCCAAGAGAGCCCCTCTCCCCAGAGAGGGAATGGATGCCACTCCTCTGCCCCATTCATTTCAAGAAATTGTACAAGTTTATTTACCTATATATATTTCTAAACCTTTGAATAAACTACAGAACCTAATATGCCAGGGAACACCTACTCTCTTGTCAGTCATCTGCTTTAGCAACCAGTGCAATACTCACCGAACATCTTTTATTTACATCCCAGAGAGGTATAATTCAGCTTGGCTCTGCAGCACGGCTTTGAAAGCCCTTCAATCCTCCCATCCCAGTTCTCCCGCTTAATCCTACAGACAATGGCTTTGGTCTGATCAACACAAGAATTAGATTTCTAATTCTCTAACATCGTTCTCTCTATTTCACCATCAACTTCACACTAATAAACACGTATTTCCCTCCCCCCTTCCCTTAAACATAAAGGACAGGTTTTCACTCTGCCCTCCTATGTGCACTACCTGAATTAGCCTTTGCCCTCCCCAGATAAGACACTTAAAAGCTTGGCAGCGTAGATTTCAACTCACGTTACGAAATGAGGCTGCTATCACCTTAACATTTTCTTTTGGACGCTCCATAAAGCGAGTGATTTTACCTTACAGGAAATCTGGTTTTGAGATCTCCAGGTCTAAAACCGCAAGCCACGCTGGCTCCCAGGATGGCTCCTTGTTAGCGAGGACACTAGCAAGGAGTTCGTCCGTGCTCCAAAAATTGGAGAAAAAAGATATTTTGTCTTAAGCAGCAAGTCACAGATGGCCACCACCACACAGGGGGGCTAGAACTTTTAACAGAGAAACGAATGCCAGAACACGTAAAGCCTGATCTAATTTAACAATATCATACCCATCAGTCAAACCAAAGCTCGTTCCAATACAGCTTGCCAGCTGCCGTAACCGCAGTGGAAATGCTGGGTCAAACGTTGTACTTACATACGAGCAAAAGCAGAAGCATGACCAAGTTGAACCTGTTTGTGGCCTAGATGCAGAACTGTGCCTGACTGCAGGAAGCACTCCCCTGAATTCCCTCCCAAGATGAGGCTCCTTCCCACGGAGACGGTTTCCACAGCAAAGAGGATGCAATTCTGCCTTCCTGAATTATCATGCGGTGAGGAACACAGGGTAATACTCTGCAGCAGAGCAATTTTCCCCAGTGAAACAAAATATCTGCACATGTTAAGTTTCACCTCAATTCTGAAACAGTTGCTTTGCTCTAAGATCCTCAGATCTGCAGGTCTTACTGCTGGGGGGTTCCATCAATCTGACAAGTTTTCCTATTCGATATACAAAGACTCACAGACCTGTGGCAACCAGACTTTCACAGCAGCTGCTTCCAGAGCAGCAAGCAGGATCGCCCTTCAACATGTTCAAGACAAGGCACCTTATATTCTATATTCTTCCCCGGGAACATGACTTCTGGAAAACAGCGACAGCTAAAGGCCTTAAAATCAAAGCTTGACATTTTGAAAAAAGTCCTTGCTGATAGCCAGATGCTCACATACCAGATCCAATTACAAAAGATACAACTATTGTGGCCTGAGACCATTCCCACTTCTAAAGACCGGATCGCACGTTTAAAGACAGCAGAGCATTCATCCTTCTCTCTACCAAAGAATGAGCGCTCTGAGAGTCCTAAGGGCTATTCCTAGAGAAAGCACCCTACCTGAAAAACTTCTCTGACCAGAGATAGCAGCGCTGGAAACGCCACTCTTCCTACAGGTGTGAGATGGGGATGAGGCAGCAAGCCGCACTTGCGCAGCAGTAACTGCTCCCCAGCGACAAGGGTAACCCAAGGCACACGGCCAGGATGCAACAAGTCAGTGATAAAGTTTCCTGTTTGTTAGTTTTTGCTTTTTTCGGATTAGGCAATTTATATATAACTAGGCCCTGCTACAGTACTTCTGCTGTTCTTCACTACACAAGCAGCTGCGGGGTTCCTCGAGGAGCCACCGAGCTCCTGAGCAGCTCCACACTCTCCACACTCTGCCTTGGGTTTATTCTCCCAGCTATTTTGCTGGCCTCCTTCTGCAAAGAAGAACACACATGTGTAAACACAGGAGAAAGAAACGCTAAGCTCCACACCAGATTTCGACAAGGGATTAGGCCGGGAAGCCGGGCAGCCTGCTCTCAGGCCTTGCAGCAGGAGGAACCTTCTGGTGAGCACGTTGCAGGCGTGGTGGCAGAGAAGTGTGGCAAGGCCAAACTCCATCTTGCCCTGGCACAATGTGGACCATGTCCAATGTCCTCTTCCCACAGCCCAAAGGAGGGAAGGCGGAGCTCAGCAACACACGGCTGGAATTCTCAAGCCAAATCTGCTCCCTTAATTAGAAGGGGAGACCACTACTCGCTAGGGGAAGGAGCAAACAGCTTTTCCTTTTTCTGCCTGCCCTCATGTACGGCCTTCTCCCGGACACCTGGGAAGCAGCAGATGCTCCACGTTCCTCAGGACGAGCAGCAGAGCTCAGAGGCTTGTCTTCCCTGCAAACATAACCTGCAGTCATAGCCAGGAACTGGCTGACACACAGTGATCCAAACGGTTAGTCACGAATGTGAGTCAGGGCTGGAGACTCCCGCAGAAGAAGCCTTGCAGTGAGGAGCCCAATGGTGCCTTTAGGGGAAAAAAAAATAAATAAAAAAGGCAGGGGGGTGGGAAATCTGTGTCGGAAAGTATCTCTCAGCAGCGATCCGAGGTTTGTTGTGCTGTAACAAAATACCTGTTGCTGCACATCTCTGGACCTCAGCACAACATGTGGCAACGAAACGACACACAGAGAAATCACCACCAGCAGAAGCCCAGTTACCCTCTCACGGTGCTGTGTAAACTGATGGCCCTGCAGATGAGCCTGCGCCCCGGAAAGCTTGCGATGCAGGCTGACAGGACACGGCAGGTGAAGGGGACAGCAAAACGCTGAGCTGAGCAGCGCAGACAAGGACAGGCGACGAGCAGGCACAAAACAAGCAAACACCTCCCCATCCTACACCCTGAAGCACCTCCAGCAGAGCTCGGGGCTCTCTGGGCACACAGTGACCGCCACAACCACCCGACCCCTTCCCATCGCCTGCCCCATCCGCTCAGAGGGAGGAAACCTTTTCCAGCGCTGTCCCAAAGCAGAGCCCTCTCTGCTCTGTGATCCCAGCGGGTGAGCGGCTCCTTCCTGCGCTGCCAGGGCCCCGTTTCCTTCCAGCACCTTCCAGCGCCTCCCCAGCCCCGGGAGGAAAGTTACCGGTGCTGCTGGCCCGCCGCTCCGACCCGGCCGCCCACGCCACGCGTGTCTCGCCCCGCCTCACCCCACTCCACCCAGCAGCCGCCCACTCTGGGAAGCTTGCTCTCGGTGCCCACCAGAGCAAGCCCCCGGTGCGAAATCCACCCTGAGTGCTGCGGGAGCGAAATGAAAGCTGGGGTTTGTGCCAGCAAACAGCTGAACCGAAGTCGGTTCCACACGCGTGGCTCCGAGCTGAAGGCAAGGTGGTGGCTTGCAGCCACGCCACGCGCTCGTGTGGCCGATGGCTCAGGGCGGGCGAGACCTCGGAGACCTCGCTCAAGGACGAGCAGCCCCTTTTATAAGAGGGGCCGGATCGCTCCCCGGCGCGGTACGGGGCAGCGTGCGGTGACTGGTAATTGAGGCCGTGAGCAATCCTTTTCTTTCCGCATGGGTTGGAGCTGGGAGAGCTGGCCCGGCGTGCAAATTACCAGTTAGGGGCTAGGGTCAAAGCGAGCTCGCCCGGCACTGCCTTTACATCACAGCTCTGACCTCAGCTTCTGCCTGACGCCTGCTCCGGCCCCAGCGGCGCTCGAAGCTCTGCTTCATCACCTATTTCCTGTCAGCTTTCTCAAATCAGAAAAGAAAAGCAAAACCAATAGAAAAAAAAAAAATAACAAAAATACCACAACCAAGTAGGTGGGTGCCTGCTGCGAACAACACCCGCTCCTCATCCGCGAATAACTTCTTACCGCGCCTCCCGAGCTGGGCAGGCAGGCTAGAAAAACACCCAGCAAGGCGCCCCTTTCCAATAAAGACGAAATATCCTCGGGTTCGTGACACATCCAGGCAGAAGCGGATTAAACAAACCGTTCCGCCCAGCTGAACCTTGGCCGCTGCACGCAGCGGGCGCGGACACAGCCCCTTTATACCACAAATAATTCATCACCCACACAGCTCCGGAAGGCTGGCGGCTGGGAGAGCCCCCCTCAGCGCGATTAGGGCACCGTGGTCGCCCCCTTACCTCACGCGGCCGCTGTGAGGGGCGCAGGGCCCTGCCCGCCGCCTCAGGGCCGCCACCGGCCCGGCCGGGCGCCGCCTCAGCCGGGCCCCGGGCAGGCCGCGCGCGCGCAGTGCTGGGGAGAGGCGGAGGCAGCGCCGGGCGGGCCCGGGGGGGGGGGAAGAAGGAGGAAGGGGGGGGCGCGATGGCGGCTGAGGCGCTGCGCGGCTGCTGGAGGGGGTGCTGGGGGTGGAGAGGAGGCGCCGCGCTGCTGCTGCTCCTGCTGCTGCTGGCGCTGTGCCTGCAGCCCGCCCGGCCCCGCAGCCTCCGCTTCGTGACGCTGGTGAGGGGAGGGAGAGGGGTGAGGTGAGGGGAGGAGGGAGGGAGATGGGGAGGGGGAGCGGGGCTTGCGCTGACCGCCCGCCGCCCGCAGGTGTACCGGCACGGGGACCGCTCGCCCATCAAGGCCTACCCGCGGGACCCCTTCCAGGAGGCCGCCTGGCCGCAGGGCTTCGGGCAGCTCACGCAGGTGGGTGCGGGCAGCGCGAAGCGGGCCCGGGGAGGAGGAGCGGGGCCCAGGGTAACGCCGCTGCCGTTGCAGGTGGGGATGCGGCAGCACTGGGAGCTGGGCCAGGCCCTGCGGCGGCGCTACCGAGGCTTCCTGGGCGCCGCGTACCGGCGGCAGGAGGTGAGTGCCGGGCCGGGGGGGTGGTTGGCCAAACGAGGCAGACTGGGAGTCCCTGTAGGGTTTGTCTGGCCTTTGTGGGCTCCCCAGGAAGCACCCAGCTGGACGTGGCTCGGATGACACCCCCTCTGTCATCTGCTTCTTCAACAAAACTTCCAGTGTCAGCTCAAACGTGGAGCCTTTAACCTTCCTCAGTAGGATATTCATATACTCCGCTCTTACAAAGCTTTTGCCAGCTGAAGCTGTTTCTCTTCCCTTGCCCGAGAAGGAGAAACAAACCGTGGCATATGCAAACAGGAACAGTTCTGCTAACAAAGCCCGTAGCAGCTGGAGTTGAGCAAGCTCTCTTATGAGAAGCGTCGCCTCTGGTTGACACTGTGTGACCGTCTGTCACCTGACTCAGCGACAAGCTGGAGCCTTGGCAAAAGGTGCTGAAGAAAGCAAATATGCCCAGGGCTTAACTGTGTTTTTTTACGACACTTGTAAAATTAGATGCTTATCTTTTAAAATAGTTCCTTTTTTCAGAGCTTGCCTAGGATGAAGGCAATCCTGTCTAGCATGTACAGGATCAGTTGCTTTCAAGCCACAGTTGGGAGGTAAAAGTGGAATTGTCAGACTTTTTTGTCATGACTGGTAAGTTTTGAGATATGGGGGATGCTATACAGGGTGAGCATATGTGGTGGTTTTTTAGCACTTAAAACCCCAAGCTTGACATTCTGTTTGATTCTTCTGGTTTTTAGTTCTTGTTTCAGATCCAGTATGCTGGGGTTAAGGACATTCTTTCACACGTGTTCCTGCTCTTTTGCACTAGTTTTTTCCCAATCTCCTCCCAGTGTTTTTAGCACACAGATAACGGAACAGCAAAGTTTTGCCATTTTGACCTTCTGAACTCATTAGTATTTTCCCTTTTCTTTCCTTTTTGGCTCAGATCTCTCTGAGCTCTGAAATGGTAAGTCTTGGCCCATTAACCCCAAGAGCCCACACTGATCAAATGATATCTCAGCTCTCCCCTTCTCTTTCTTAGACCACAGATTATTATTAATTATTTCTCAGATGGCAAAGCTGAGGTTTGGAGAAGCCAGGTTTTTGCAGGAGCAGCAGCTTGTTCCTGGAATGGAGAACTGAACACAGCAGTTTGCCCCAGTCCTGCTCTGTAAATACAGCGCATTTCCTATCTGTGCCCATCATTATCTGCACACCTCTGTCTTGCTCTTCTCTGACTCGTTTATTTTCAGACTCCCTTCTTCCTATCTGTAATCTCCACACAGTGCTTCTCGCTATTTCACTTACCCGGAACAGACTGCTGTAGCATTGCACAGCGAAGCTTCTTTCACATCCATCCTTAAAGTTTCGTCCAGGTTGACGCCAGCAGGCCCCATCACTTCAGTTCCTGTTGTCCACAAGCAGCTGCAGGGCACGTGGCAATGTTCCTCAGCACGTGCGTTGCCCTGCGTCCCAGTGGCACCGCTTACAGTGGCGTTACTAACGGTGCGCTGTCCCTGTCCTGGCAGATCTTCATCCGCAGCACAGATTACGATCGGACGTTGATGAGTGCGGAGGCCAATCTGGCAGGCCTGTATCCCCCAGAGAGACAACAGATGTTCAACCCTAACATTTCCTGGCAGCCGATCCCTGTACACACAGTGCCAGAGTCTGGGGAAAGGGTAAGTTAGTCCTGAGGATACATCCTGACTACCCAAGTGGCATGTTGTGCTGACCTCTCCAAAAGTCTTTACTTCAGGCTCAATTCAGATTGTTTTGAGCTTCTCCTGGGACCTGACTTGCAAAGATTCGTTTGTTCTCTGAACAAGATGAGAACTGAGGGGCTGTGTTTGTTCACTCACTATATTAGCTGCACCAGGCCACACACAGGCTGGCTGGAGCATGTTAGAGGGCAGAACTTGAAGCTGTAGATGGTTGGGGTTTCATTACCATTCTGTATGTTTAAAATCCTGTACATATGGAATTCCCATTGACTTACCTGCTCTCATCTCTGCCCAGCTACTGAAGTTCCCATTGAGCCCCTGCCCACGGTACGAACAACTACAGAATGAAACACGGCACTCAGCAGAATACGTAAATAAGACCAGAGACAATTTGGTAAGTGATGGTGTGAGATAAAGTGGCCCTGTAGTTAAAATATCGCTTCTACATAATCAGAGCTCTGACAATATCATGTAGTGCATATCATGCAGCACAAAACTGGAAAATTGAAGGCCTCTCTCTTTCTGTTCGTACCTACAGCAATTCCTGCAGATGGTGGCAAATGAGACTGGGATTCGGGATGTCTCTCTGGAGACTGTCTGGAGTGTGTATGACACACTGTTCTGTGAAGTAAGTTTCCGCAGAAATGCGCATGGATTTGCACTTTGCTATGTAAACCTCCCACTTTGTAATGCCAAAGCCAGGAAAAAAGGCCAACAGCACTATAAATACCTGATTTGAAAGACACTAGAAAATGACCACAATCTGAAATCTTCCGATGTCCGCGGGCAATTCTGAATTAAGTAAGGTAGAAATGAGATCTCTGGAAGCTGAAGGAGTGCTAACTTTATGATTTAAATTAGAGGTTTTAAATTTGGACTGTTCCTGATTCTGCTTCTGTTAATTTGGATCGGTCACTTCTTTGTTTCTGTTAATGCCCTCTCTAAAGAAGTGCTCCACTGGGTTAAGTGGGGTTCACCGACATCTGTTTTTTGACCCATTATGAGGTCCTGTGACAAAGACTCTAGAGACAGACGTTACTGTTTTATTATCTGAGGCGAAGCACAAAACTCAAACGGAATTTTCTTGAAAGCACATCTCCTGGAAGCTTAAAAATAAAAATCGATTTAGCAGTGCTAATGCCAAAGTAAAGGTCACGCATCCAGGAGACTTATAGTTGTGGTACAGGTTTGTGTACAATCAAATAGCACAACGAAAAAAATTAAAGAGATCTTTAAATATCAGACTGGTAAGTGATAGAACAAAATGTAAACCCTGACACTGACGTGCTGCTTTTGACACTCTGTTGGTCCTATGGAGATGCAAGGGTAGTGAGATTGCTGGCAATGGTGCAGTAATGCAGTATATACTACATTAGGGATGCAAAGCATAAATCTGCATGGCATTGCACTTTGCTTCATAAAGTAGTTGCCTGAGTTGCTGCAACCTGAGAATATTCCAGCCCAGAGCTGCATTGCACTGTGTAAATTTGCCCTTTGTATCACAAAGCCAATCTCCTATCTTGTAACAGTGACAGTGAAACAAGTTCTGTCAGTAACAAAAACTCCTGGTCAGAGAGATCAAGAATTTCAAAACTGCGCTTTCAAGACTCACTTAAACAGCTTGCAAATTGGGCCCGGAAGCCCAGCTGACAACCGTCATATCCCTGAGAACCTGGCTGACAGCTCACTGTCCCAAAATGAAACTACACCGTAGTAAGGAAGGGTATTTACTGTAAAAACTATACCCTCAGCCTGACTAATGGCTGTGGCCACTTCGAGCTTCCTCTTATTTCTCACTTTTACAAACAGTGCCCTGAAGAGCAATGTTTTTCTCACCTGAGCCAGCAGATTCACTCTACCATCTGGGTGGAAAAAAAAAAAAAGGTCCAAGAAATACCTGAACTTTCCGGCTACTCTCTTTGGAAATTAATGAAAACCTAACTAAATACCTAGGTTGCTGATGGGAATTTCTGTGAACTGCTGAGACAGAATGGGCCCTTAAGGATATTCAAACTCGTCTTCTGGCAGTTTAACAGGATGTGGCATACAAAATTGCTCCATCCGAGTAATGCCAGGGAACCACAACCCTTGTTTGTCTGCCAGTATAACTAATCCTTTCTTGTAAAGGGTTGGCTGCAAAGTAAATTCTCTTGGTTCCCACTTCTGTGTGTTCTAGGTTTGATTACCGGGCTCTGTCAGTGGTGCATCCCACTACGATGTCCGCTAGCACTAAGTGCTTGCTAACTTTTCCTAACTTTTCCAACATCTTTCAGTGGCCCATAGAGCCTCCTGGGGAATTGTGCTGCAGGTAAACCAGAAACCAAATGCCCCAAGATTACCGTACTGTCCTAACACTTTAACCCTGCACTCCAGGTGTGCTTTCACAGAAAAGTAGCTCCTAGGTTCTAGTCTTGATGCTGCTCACAATTAGTTTCTGAAACAACATTTAAAAGGAACGACATGAACTATGTGTATTCTCTATATGCAGCACGACAGGGCGAGGACAGAATTCTAATCAGACAAGGGTCGTACTTAAACAATACAAAAAATCAGTGGCAGTATGGGCAGAACTCCAGACACCCTGACTCCCATTCTCTGATTAATCTGTGGTCTGTGCTGGCTCCAGCTGACTACTCTCTTTCTCTTTCTAGCAAGCACACAAAATGGATTTGCCACCATGGGTGACGCCAGATGTCATGTCTCAGTTGAAGCAACTGAAAGACTTTGGTTTTGAATTTCTGTTTGGAATCCACCATCGGGTAGAAAAAGCTCGTTTGCAAGGCGGTGAGTGCAGTAGGGAAGGAGCTTTGTGCTGCTCCACCTAGATTTTGAATCTTACTAGCTGTTCCCTTTCCCCAGGGGTCCTGCTGGATCACATTAGGAAAAACCTAACCAAAGCAGCAAATGCCTCTGCCCACCAGCACCTGAAACTTCTTGCCTATTCAGCGGTAAGTCAGAGGTTGGGTATGAACTTTGCTCCATCTCCTCCTCCTCACATTCGGGGTTGGGGCTTGCTAATGGTTTTTACCCTTTCTGGCTTCTCTCCAGTCTGTGCAGTGAGCAGGAGATGCATCTTTGCCTCTGGCTGGGTGGGATATGCAATACCTGGCATCGTTCCTCTGGGGCCCCCGAGGAAAATTCCCAAGCTGCACTTAGTTCCTGGTATAGCTTAGGCTCATGGATAAGACCGGCAGTCTTTGGGGAGCCACTGCTGTATTTATTTGGTGGATGGGTTGCTGCTACTCCAACGTGGTGTTTCAGCAGTACAGCTAAAGAGAGTCACCCCCCTTTCCAGCAGCCTGCTGGCTGGAAAGTCAAGCATCTCCCAGATTGCTCCCTAGAGATTAATCCTTAAAAGAACGATGCAGGATAGATATGGCTGTGTTTCACCTCCTCCCCTTCTCTGGCACCATCACAGATCACCTTTCCAACTACTGCTCCTTTCCCTTCTTTCAATGGAAGTTACAAAGGTGGCTTCCCTTCTGCACTGCCCTGCCCATTGCTGGTATGGTCTGAGCTGCCCTGCCACATTCATGAGGGTGACTGATTTGGTTTTTTTCCCTCTTTCTCAGCATGACACCACACTTGTGGCACTGCAGATGGCTCTAGATGTCTACAACAAGATTCAAGCACCATACGCCTCATGTCATTTATTTGAGCTGTACCAAGAGGATGATGGGTGAGGGCTGCAGTAAAGATGTCTGCTGTGATTTCACCTCAAGGGTTAGATACCTAGGCTAGGTGCAATCTAGGGGGATGCAAGCTTGCTCCTAGTGGCAGACTCTTAGGAGGAAAACTGTGACCAGACTAAAGGAAATGGTGTGCACTCTAAGATTTTTTTTTGGGAAGGGGTGACTTGAGCTGGAGGAAAAAAAAAATCTAGCTGTGTTTCGTTTTCAGTGACTTCTCTGTGGAGATGTTTTTCCGGAATGAGAGCGGGAAGGAACCTTTCCCACTGACGATCCCTGGCTGTCAGCACAAATGTCCCCTGCATAAATTCTTGGAACTCACAGATCCTGTTGTGCCTCAAAACTGGGAGCAAGAATGTCAGGTAGCAAGCAGCATGCAAGAGACAGGTGAGCCCAGGCTGGACCAGAACGTGCAGAAGGGGAAAGCTTGGATTTACTCTGACCACTTATTTTCTCCCTTGCAGGACTGTTTGTGGGTCTGGCTGTGTGTGGATCCGTTCTCCTCCTCCTTATAATCCTCCTCTTGACTGTACTCCTTCGCGTACAGTCTCAGCCCCCTGGCTACCGGCACGTTTCCAATGAGGGAGAAGAGCAGGCCTGACAGTTGCTTCACCTGCTTCCCAGGCAGTAGGGGGGAGCAGCGTTGCCCCTAAGGATGATCGGGCACCTTCAGTAACTGAACATTCTTCTGCTTTGGCCATTGCTTCCCAGAATGAAGCTGAACTGTGATTTTTTTGGACATTTTCTAAAGGTGATGACCCAGAGAGAGGACTGACCTACCCTAATGGAAGTGATGCATTTTAATTCTGAGAAACCAGGGTACTGTGTGGTGCCTCCAGCCCTCATACAGTCAGCCTGGGATTCTCACCAAGGCCAGTTAGAGCAGCTGCTCCTCATGAAGAATTTTCCTCCTTTCAATGATTGTAAATGTTACCACTCACCCTTCCTGTGGCAGGGGGACTTGGGCCTCCAGAAGGTGCCACATGGAGTACGATTAAGAATTACATCTCTCTTCAGGGTCATCCTGCTTTGTGTGCTTTTCTCTCACGTCCTTGGACTCATGGTGGTGAGAGGGCTGGGCTTGGAGCAGAAGGCCCAGCTCCCCCATGATGCACAGACACTCATCTGCTGACCATGCAGAGGGAGCTGCTGCAGAGATGGCAGGTGGTGAAAAGCATTTCTTGAGGCTGCTGCTAAGTAGTGGTTCATGGTCTCCTTTTCCCCTCATCAAAGTGTAGTTCAAGAGAGAACTGGCCTGTAATCAGGACAGGACTGCAAACCTGGCAGTGGTTTCTAGCATTCAGCTCAAAGTAGGTTATGTATGATCCACAGAGTAAAGAGTTTCGTAAAGGAGATGAATTCTTGTAGTCACAGTGCACCCCATTTCTTGTGCAATGGTGGCTCTAGAAAGGAGGAAGTCCTTGTAGATAGGAAACGTTTTCTATGTTTCTAAAGATTCTTTCTAAAGAATTCTAAAGTTTCTTTTCTAAAGATTCAGTCTTTGAATTTGCCCTCTGCACTTCAAGTACCTACTACAGGGGAGTATCCTGTACTGCAGGCAGTCCAGATTTCAGCTGGAGCCCAAGGAACATGCCTTACTGGCAGAAAGTTTTTATGCTATAATTAAAGAAACGTAGCAGAGCTGTTTACCTAAGACTAGACTGAATGCCAACTTCCAAAGTTGTTTTTTTTTTTATTTTCCCATCCTCCCTACTGCACAGCCTTACCCAGAAAAAAATGGAAAACAAACAAACAAAAAAAATAATAAGGATCAGACTTTGCAAGTAAATATGGACCCCTTCATCTGCCACTCTTCAGCATTTTATCCAAAATGTGATTTTCTCCCAGCAAGCTGGATGGAAGCCACAATCCTCTCTCACCTGTCCCCATGATACCGAGTTGACGAGACAAACAGTCTCTTCCTTGATAGAACCATCGGATCAGATTTGAAGTCCTTCATTAGATGATAGGTGAAACCTTACCATGTTTGGCTGGATAGCAGGGAGTTTAGAAACTTTGTATTACTTGGCCAGCTTCATCTGTACCAAAATACAGACTTGTATCTCAAAGTGAGGGCAAGATGACCCAGGCCTGCAGGATGTGTCAGCAGATTAGGTGAGGAAGTCATGCTGTGCAGGTGTGCTTGGATGTGTAACCGACTATGCTCAGTGTGCAGGCCCAAGACGAGAGAACACAATCAGAGAGAAGGAGAGGGCCTGAGCATGTACAAGGGCTGGGCTCAACCAAGGGATACAGTGAGGAAGTGTACTGACGACCACCAGACACCCACGGAGAGACCATGAGTGGAAACAAATGTGGATGTGTCAGAGAACTTTAAAGAGTTTAATGAGTTATGGGAAATAGTATGACTATGTTAGTAATTGGAAACCTAAAGAATGGTTATAACTGTATATAACCCCTGAAATGTGAACAATTTGGAACACACACTAGGTGTTCCTAGTTCCTGAGAATGCCTGCTCCCTAAAACTCCAAATTGAGTCTTAGAGAGTTTCTTTGACTGACTTTCATGCTATCACCCAAGGACAGGGCCCAGCTCCACACCCCCCTCTGGGGGACACAGGGTTGGAATCTCCCCAGGCTGAGGCCAGAAACACGGCCGCTGCTGCTCTGCCTCATCTCTTGTCATGGCTGTGCCTCAGTGCCACAGCCCAGGCTGCAGAATGCTGAAAGTTCTGGAAAGTTCCTCTGGAGTCGGGGCTGGAGGGCTGCCCCTGCCCCTCTCAGCTCCTCCCTGCCCTGTCCCTGGGCTCTCCAGGAGCCACGGAGCCGAGCCTTGGTGCGGGTTCCTCCCCAGGGCGCGGGGGGCCGCCCCCTTCCCTCAGCTCGCCTCAGCCCGCGCCCTGCTCTGCCTGGCCGTTAGCAGCCGCCATGGCAGCAGCAGCGCCTGGGAGCGTTGGGAAGCCGGCTGCAACTGGCTGCAACCCGCTGGAACCCGCTGGAACCGGCTGGAACCAGCTGGAACCAGCTGCAACCAGCACCAGGCTGCCCGGCTGTGTTCTCCATCTTGTCTCGCTCTGTGCCCAGTGCCCGGGCGTTGTGCTTGTCGCCGCTCAAAGCCTTCGCTTCTTTGGCTTGCCTGTCCTCCTGTGCCCTCGGCAGGACTGAGGCATTCCCCCTTGGCTTTCACAGCCCTCCTCCTGCCCAACACGCCCATGCTGGCAAGAGATTTCCTGAGGTCTTGTCCTGGAATCCCTCAGAGATTTCCGTGCCCTTGGGCTCAGCCATGTCCAGATCTGGAAACGGGGGGTGCTGGCCTTTGTTCGGCTGTGCCAAAATGCCAGCCGAGTGCTCCTGGGACTAGTTTGGGTGGTTATTTTCTGAGTTTGAGGAAGAACGTGAGGGGAAGAAGAGCGGGAATGGCGGCACCAAGGACTTTGGTTCTTCAGCTGCTTCTCTGTTAAATGTGGCAGCTCCCAGCAGTGTCTCTGTGTGGAAGAACGATGGGGGAATTGACAGACTGCTTTGAGTTCAGAAGCGGACAACTTCTGATGGAGTGCCACTGCAACAGCCCGGTCTTCATGAGGGTGGCCATCTCAGTTTGCTTTAGTTGTTGTAAATAAATATCTGGTTTTACATTTTTTTGCCCATGTGTTGTTTTTTTTTTATTATTTTTTATTTCTCCTCCAGCTCTGGGCCTTGCCCTGGCCTCCTGTCTCAAGCTGCTTCATCCTGTTTCTCCCTGCTTCCCATGCCCCTCTTGTGCCTGTTGACATGAGGTGTTAGCATGTGGCTGGAACAGCAGCTTCCATGTGTCAGCACTGCCAGGCAGTGATTTCCATCACGAGGATTTATCCGTCTACGGAATCTCTTATCAGGAAGCACCACATAACCATGCTTAAACCTCTGAAACTTACAACTGCAACATTTGGAAGTTCTTGGAAAACCTGAGAATGTATAATCTGTACGCATGCTGGAAAATAGCCTCCCTCACCAGTAAATATTCTGAGAAAGTGCCGTACCTGAGACAATTTACGATTTCGAAGTTGGTATGCAGGGTAATAACAGCAATGGCAATACAGTAGTTGGAATGATGATAGGGTGTGCGTTCAAATCCGTAACAGTATTGCCACTCGGACATGAAGATATTCCCTTGAAGGTACCCTGCTGCCCAGGCCTTCAACATTATCTTCAACATTATTACCACATTTGGTTATTTGAGCACCTCCTTTATATTGGTTCCAGTGCCCTCCCAGAGTCCTAATACTGCAATTTTTTTGCTGACACACAAAAATTAGAGAAAACAGCATGCACCCTCCTTCCCCCCAATGCTGAATCAACAAAATACTTGCAGGTACCTTGATTGAAGTTCTAACAAAGCAAGAATTTGAATTAAGCTGTGAGCTGTTGTTTAAATATGGTTTTCCAGCGCCATCTAAAGGTGAATAAATGTTGTGAATTTCTAACTTCCAGTTGCTGTGCCCACAGTCAATAGCAATGGGAGACGTTTGCTCCTGAAGAGTTGGTAACATTGAGGTCTCAGGTTGTGCTTTGTATCTTTTGGTGCTTTACCCAAAGCTCAGCATCAAGATCTTACTGTTACAGCGAGGCAGAGAGACAAAAAGTTCTCATTTTGGTTGCTTTGGCCTCTCCATTAGGGACCACGGTGTCTGCAACACTCCCTCAACTTCCTGATCTCTTCTAGTATAGGAGTATCTGTCCATCCATCGCTGTTCAGCTTATTTAGGGAGTCAATGGTGACTAAGCTTTTCAATTTAGTTTCCCCAGAGATGTCCCCACCCCACCATCCTCCAGCTGTCCAGGCACAGGGACAAGGCAGAGCTCACATGCATTTTATTTATTGTCCTCAACCATGACACAGGGGCTGCACCCGGCATGCCCCAGGCATCGGGGGAAGTCACCAAGGTAGTGGAATGACGTGGCATGGCACTGGGGTGGCAGGTACAACACAGGATTGGCATCACCGGGACGCAGGGGGGACAATGTGGGGTGTCACCAGGACTGTTGGGGGGACACGGGATGTTCTCGTGTGTTGCTGCATGTGTGGGATCACATGGGGTGCCGCAGGACCCATGACACAGCCCTCCCAAAGACATCCCCAACTCCGCTGTGCCCCACAGCAACACAGATATCCCATATCCCAATGCCCCCCGCAATCCTACACATCCCCACGTGTCCCCCCGGCATCTTCAGGTCCTACCCGCGCTCGCAGATGAGCTCGACGACGCTGTGCTCCATGGGGACAGGGTCGAGGCAGCGGTGGGCAGCGCTGGCGGCCACCTCGTCCAGCAGCCCCTGCACCACGCGCTCGTCAGCAGCGAAGCGCCAGAGGTAGAGCTGCAGGTAGTGGCCATCCACCTGCACCTGCTGCAGCCCGAAGCGCCCCAACGTCCGCAGCCGCACGCACTCCAGCAGCGTCTTCAGGCTGATCTTGATGATCCCCGTCAGCACCGACACCTGGGATGTAGGGACAGCAGGGATAAGTGGCACAGTGGGGACGGGGACAGCCAGCGCAAGGTGGCTCAAGTCTTGTCCGCACAGGGATGTGGAGAAATTAGGGACGCCCTCTCTGGAGTCATCAGGCGCCTAGGACACCCTCATCCTCATCCTAACGTGTGTTAGGACATGGGGACATGTCACACTGGGGTTACAGAGACCTTAAGCCACATCAGTGTGGGGACACAGGAACACTGACACTCACCCCTGCCATCTGCCCCAGGGACCAACCCCCTCTTGTCTTAGCTATCAGCCCCTGAGGAACCCCAAAACCCCAGCACTGGGGACATGGGGACATGAGGGACGTGTGACAGGTGGGAAGATGGACAGCTCAGGGACCTCGGGGACACCTGAGGGACACTGGGACATCCCTATGGCCTCACCTTGTTGAATTCAACAGGGCTGAAGATGTCGATGCGTTCGGAGAAGAGCTTCTGGATGTTGCTGAGCAGGTGGGTGTCCATCGGGGCACTGGGGACAACTGAAAGCAGGACAATCAGGGGGACAGGGGACTGGCAGGAGAGGAGGGAGAGCACTGGGGACAGTCAGGGGACATGGTGACAGATGGGATGTGAAGGGCTGTATGGGGACACAAAGGCAGGAGAACATGGGGATGTGGGTGGATGATGTGGGGAGAGTCACAGCACGGGGACTTAAGGCACATGGGGATCATCAAGGGATACTGGGATGGTTTGGGGACACAGGGACCACCAAAGGATGTGGGGACCATGGGTGGATATTGGGACAATTTGGGATATGAAGATTGTCACAGGGACATGGGGACTGTAGGGGAACACTGGGATCATTTGGAGCCATGAAGACAGCCAGGAGGACGTGGGGCTGGTCACGAATGTGGGGACAACGGGGTGACCCCGGGCTGACAGGGAGGTGACCCAGGTGACAGGGCTGACCTGGGGGTGTAGCTGGGGGCGTAGCGCCCAGGCGCCCGCGAGCTGCTGTAGACGGAGAAGGCGCGCCGGCTCGAGTCGCTGCTCTGTGCCCGCCGCACGCCCTCCTCGAAGAGCTGCCCCACCTGCAGCATCACACCATGCTCAGTGCCAGCGTCCCCCAAACCCACCCCAAATACCCCCCTGGGGACTCCCAAAACAAGCCAGGATCCCTCAAAACCCTCTGAGACTTCCCAGTCCGTTTGAGATCCTCTCAGACCCCTCTGGTCTCTCCCTAAAATCATTATGGACACCTCAGGGAGTCTCCTCTTGACCCTTCAGAGACTTCAGCCCCCCTGCAAGGAACCCTCTGGGACTCCAAAACCCGCCCAGGAACCCTCTGGGACTCCTGAGGGTGCTTTAGGGAGCCCCACAGGGACCACCTGCAACATCCTAAAATCCTCAATGACTTCATAAGGACAGCAGGCACGATTTCTGGCCCCTTCAGGGATCCCCAGGAACCCTCTGTAACATCTGGGACCCCTCTATGGGTCTCCAGCCCCCACCCCAAGCCCCTATAAGGGCCCGGTGCTGCCCCAACCTGGACGTCGATGGCAGTGATGTCCTCGACCACGCGCTTCATGACGGCGCGGACGTTGCGGGGCTCGACGGTGCCCAACCAGTCGCGCGTCTCCACGCTCTTCCGCAGCATCTGCGCCACCGCCGCCCCCTGCACCTGCACGTAGTGGTCGAGCAGCCGCTGCGCCGCCCCCCGAGCCTCCGCGCACAGCGCCGGGCCTGGCGTCACTGCTGGCCCTGTGTCCTGGGGGCACAAAGGACATGGGGACACTTCCACACGCAGCCTCGGCCACGTGTCCTCAGGGTTTGGGGACATGGGGACACAGGGAGATGGCTCCTTGGTGGCACAGGGATGTAAGGACATGTAGAAGCCTCCCCCAGTGTCCCCATGCACAGCAACATCTGTTGTGAGGGTACACAGAGACATCAGGGGGCACCTGGGCTGTCCCAAAGTGCTGCATCCCTATTGTCCTCACATCGTTGTAGCATTTGGAGGGGTTCAGGGACATGCCAAGGCCTCCTGGGGACGTTTTGTGGATCTCCCACCCCTTAGGGACACTGAGGGACACTGGGACACGCAGGGACCCTTCTGCCTCCACACATACTGCTGTTCTTGGGGCCACATTCTGGACAGACATGGGGCCATAGTGGGACACAGAGAGAGGCTTGGGGACATTCAAGATCCCTTTGGGGACATTTCAGGGTCCCTCGTGGACATTTGGGGGCACACAAAGTTCAAAGGAAGATCCCCATGCTTCCACACACACTCCCATGTTCTGGACAGCCACTAGGACTCGGGGCTGCTCTGTGGCACCTTGGGGACATTCAGGGCCCCCTCTGAGCCATTTTGGGGCCAACGAGGGTGGGTTTTGGAGCTCACCTCAGGAGGAAACTGCTCGTCGGTAAGGGTGAGGATGTAGCTGATGGTGGTGGCCTCGTAGTCGAGGCAGAGGCGGGCGAGGAGCAGCAGCAGTGCCGGGGGTGCTGCGGGGGCTCCCCTCTCCGTGGGGCTGTCGGCAAAGCCCCGGGCGGTGCGGCAGAGCCAGCGCACGAAGGCCACCACCAGCCCTTCGCGCACCGCCTCTACGCAGAACTCCCCCTGTGGCCAAAAGCAGAGGGTTACACCTCCCAAAATACCAAACTGCTACCCCTGCCTGCTTAAAAGCTGCCACTGCACCGTAAAAGCCTCGGCTGCACCCCAAAGAACTGCTGCTGGGCAGCGCTGTCGCACCCATGTCACCGTGTAGAACGGCCCCGTGACCAAACCTGGAGGGTTACATCCCAAAAATACCACCCTGGGTCTCCCAAAAACCTCCTCTGTATCCCCAAAACTGCCCCTGGAGCCCGATATGTTCCCCATGGCCCCCAGCAGCCCCTCACACACCACTGCCATGCACAACTGAAGGCACAACTGCCCCGTGTGACCCCCAAAAAAACCCGGTTCCACCAAGCTGTGCTCTGCAACCCCAAAATCACCCCAACAACCCCCGCACAGACTGCCAGCCTGCCCCATGCGACCTGCGAAGTAAACCCACGCTCATTTGAAGCCCATGCAAATTCCACCGTGCCCTGCACAGCCCCCAGCCACCCCCAGGTCACCCCAGCGACCCCCATACTCCCCCCAAAGCTCCCCCCACTACCCCCAGCCCACCTTGAAGTAGGGCAAGCTGGCGAAGGCCACGTCCTTGGCGGTGAAGAGCTGCACGTAGGCCAGGACGGCCTTGAGCTGGCCGAGAACGGAGGAGGACAGCGTGGCCAGGAGGTCGGGGAGCCCAGGCCCCTCTTTGCCGGGGGGCCGGGGAGCTGCCAGCGCCTGGCGCACGTCACCCAGGCACCCCAGGAAGAAGGTCTGCAGCGCCCGCAGGTAGCGGGCCACCCGCTCGCCCGCTGCCCGGGCCACCAGCGCAGCGCCTGCTTCGGCCCCGGCCGTGGGCAGCAGCTCGAGGAGGGCGCGGAGGCGGCGGTGGAAGCGGTCGAGCGCCCGCACCAGCAGCGAGGTGTCACCCAGGCCCCGCTCCAGCGCCAGGCGCCGCTCCAGCAGCTCGAAGTAGCGGGCGGTGAGGGCAGCGGCGAAAGCCTCCAGGCGGCCTTCCCCCACCCCCGGGCAGCCCTCGAAGAGGCTGCGGTACGAGGCTGCGAGCAGGCACAGGTTGCCCACGAAGGCCGAGCTGCCGCGGTCAACGAAGTCCAGGATGTCGGAGGCCGGGGGAGGAGTGGTGGCAGCGCCAGAGGGATCGGCTGGGGGCAGCTCAGCCTCCAGCGCCGCCAGCTCGGTCTCCAGGCGAGCACCGGCATGGCTCAGGAACTCCTCGCACAGCTCCTCAGGCGGCTCCTCCAGCTGCAGCAGCATCTCCACACACTCTGTGAGCTCCTTGGGGTCCAAGGTGTCGTCCCTAGAGAGATGGGGGGGTTAGCTGGGTGCTACGAGGTTCTGAGGTTAACAGCGGCACAGCAAAACAGGAAAAAGCAATAAAGGTCATCAGTAGGCTTCAGAGTTAACGATAATTATTGAAAAACAAAGGAGAAATGAGGACTTCATAGCATCAGCATGTTCCAGAGTTCCCAGTGGAATAAAGTTGTTAGAGGAACTGCTATCGTTACCCTCCAGAACGAACACCCTCTGTTCTCCACAGCCGCCACCAGTAGGCTCCAGAGTGAACACCCCCACAACCCCACCTCCTGCTGGCAGCGGGCTGCGGAGTGACCGTACCGGAGGCGTGCCCGGAGGCGCTGGGCCAGCTCGGCCATGATGGCGTGGCTCTCGTCCTCGATGGCCCGGAACGAAGGCAGGTGGCGGTAGTGGCGCAGCACGGCCCGGGCGCGGGCGTAGCAGTGCAGGGCCCGCGCAGGATCTGCCCCCGGTGCCGCCCAGCGCCGCAGCCGCCCCGGCACCTCCACGAGGGACTGCAGCTTCCGCAGGAGCGCCTGCACGCCTGGAGGGGCCGGGATGTCAGGAAGGAGTCGGGCGTGGGGGAAAGGATTGGGCACCGAGGTGGGGGGTGCAAGGACCAAGGGGAAGGGCTACGGATGATGCAGGGCCTGATCGGCCCCCTCTGGGATCCCATTTCTCCCCCCCCATCTGACTCTCGGCCCCCTTCCCCGTCATCTGCCTCCTCTGCTCCCCCCACGCCGTTATCTGCCCACCCCACAAAGCCCAGGTGTGCCCCCAGATGGGCTCCCCCAACCCCGCTGGGCTCCCCCAGCGTACATTCCAAACCACAAGAACCCTACACGCTAACATCTGTCTCCTCATCCCCTCATATTTACCCCTAAAAGGCCAAAATCTAATCCCCAGGCCCCTCCAAACCCCAGATCTGACCCCCAACCCCACAATCTGTCCTCCCCGAGTCACCCAACCCCAAGATCTGTCCCCAAACCCCATAGATTTGCCCTCCTGGGCTCCACTCCTCCCTCCCCATACCAGCCAGCTGGGCGCCCCGGCGGTGACGGTCCTGCAGCGCCGCGCTGACACGGGCGCTGGAGGTGCTGATGGCTGCCATGTTGGCAGCCAAATCGTCCATCTCTGCCTCCATGCGGCGGAAATCAACCTTCATCTTTCGGATAGTGTCTGGGGGGAGGGAAAAAAATGAGACCCATGGGTCCCTGAGCCACTTGGGATCCCACAGGTCCCCCCCCAAATGCTTGTGTCCCCCCTGAGAGCCCACCTGTGGCAGAAATGAACTTGTTATAGTTCTCGTAGAGCAGCGTCTGCATGTCGCTGTCGAGAGCGCGGATCTCCCGCCCCAGCGCAGCTTCGCGGGCCAACAACTGCCCCAGGGGGCACTCGCTGCGCACCTGGAAGAGGGAAATCATGATAGAACCACACCCTGGCCCTATGGCACCCCAACAACTCTCCCGCAGCCGGAACAACCCCCTCCCAGGCCCCTACATCCCTCCACAGTGGTTCTGGGCTCCTGAGCTGCCCCCCTAATTGCATGGTAGAGCCCTCCAGCTGTCTCCCCCAGCCCAACACGCTGCTCGGGGAGGCCTGCCTGCCACACAGCCACTTAGATGGCACCCTGGCATTGCGAGAAGGAACCCTAAGAGCTTCCAGCTGCACACCAGGGCCCTGCTGGGATCCACAACAGCCCCCAATAGCCCCATATGGCCCCTACACAGGGGACATACAGGATCCCAAAGAGCGCCTGGGGGGGGAGATCTGTTGGGTACCCAGAAAACCCCTCTGTGGGGATCTGAAGGGGGTTGGAAGGTCTCTTAGGGACCCAGCACAGCCTGACGGTGGGGTTAATGGGGTCCCCACAGGGCTCTGGGGGCGGGGGTACAGATTGCACGGCACCGCTCACCCCATGAAGGCTGCGAGATCCCCATAGGAACCCCTTGGGAACCCCACAGGAACCCCTTGGGATCCCTACAGGAACCCCTTGGGATCCCCCCAGGCGGACACCCAAACCTCAGGAGGTCCCCGGGGTGGGGGTGCGGGTCACGGCGGGGTCAAAGGTCACCTTCGCGAGGTAAACTTCCGGGTCAAAGTGAGGCCCGTTGATGTCGATGGGGTCCGGGGCGGCCTCCGCTGCCTCGGCGGCGGGCAGCCCGTAGTAGCGCTGCAGCGGGCCATGAGGCCGGCGCCAGGAGGGGCCGGTGCCGGTGCCGGTGCCGGTGCCGCTGCCAGAGCCGGTGTCGGTCTCGGTCCCGGTGTCGGTGCCGGTGTCGGTCCCCGCCGCCTCCCCGTCCGCCATCACGCCGCCACTTCCGTGCCAGCGCCTGACTTCCTGCCCAGCCCCCGGCGTCACTTCCGGGCGGGGCCGTCACCATGGTTACCGGCCCCCGGCCCCTCCCCAGCCCCGGCCCCACCAGGCCGCACGGCGCCGCCTCAGGGGCCCCCTGTGAATAAAGCGCATAAAGCACATAAAGCACAAGTCAGTAAAGGAAATAAAGCACATGAAGCACATGGCCTCAGTCAGTAAAGGAAATAAAGCACACAAAGCAGGTGGCCTCAGTCAGTAAATACAGCACATAAAGCCCATGGCGTCCGTCAATAACGTAAATACAGCCCATAAAGCAATGGCAGCAGCCGTGTTCATGACTTGTGGAAAACGGACTCCACAATCAGAAAGACTGTAAATTAGCTGTGTTTATTCAGTGCTGCGCAGCACGGGGGGGTAGTGCCGCCAAAGTCGTGCACACCTGGCGTGGCAACTTGCCTTGGTTTTATGCAGAAAAGAGTGACATATGCATGGAGTTTCACACCACGCCTATACATATTCATAACCTGTCCCTGTTTAATATTAAAATTGGTTCCAAGGAGTCATTTCCATAAACTGCTCCCATCTGCACTTGCACAGTGTATGCTGGTGGTGGTCTTCGGCGGTCATGGGGATGAAGATTGATGACTCTTCCTCGTCTCTGCTCCTTGATCTCTTGTCTCTGCGCAGACTCAGTTGCTCCTTGTCTCTTGTCCATCCACAGGGCCAGTTTCTTAAGATAGGCTCACACTCTTATTAGGAGACTGACCTTGGTAAAGGGGCCCAAGGCTTCTTGCTTTAATTAGTCTGAGAATCCTAGTTTCATGCTATCACTCTATCTCTACTTGATAATATTCCCCTAACGTCCTCTCTCAGTTCCTCCTCTTCTAAAAGTTAGTAAATTCTTTTATAAAAGGTTAGTGATTTATTGCATTCTCCTAACTCCCTCTCTCATTCAGGCTCCAACATGGCTATGTACCACACAACCACTCAGTCAGACATAACTGTATTTGTAGTAGTCTTGGAGGAAAACGTCCCATGGTAGGAGAATTTATTGGGGCTGGCAACTCCAATTGTGCCTCTTCCAGTGGAGCGTGAATGTGCAGCCGCCTGGAGGTGTCCTTTCCTTTGCTTGCTTCCTAGCTTTCATGGCCCACAGTCCCACCAAAAGCCAAGCCCCTGCTTACACCTGCAGAGGAACCAAACCGCCCATGGCAGGCTGCTGCGGTCCTGGTCCTCGATACCTTGTGGAGCCTGCCATCACCAGGACTGGGAAGTATGTGCCTCCAGGCACCCAGATCTGGGGACTTCCCAAAATAAACACAACTGGCACACCCAGACCGAGTGAGTACCGGTTCTCCAGCTCTTCATCCCAGCAAGACCACAACACTGGGCCTAGCAGGGGAACCACTGTGAGCAGCCATAAATGCCCTCTGAGAAGGACAGCTGCCAAGGACCATGAGCTGTGGGCACAAGGGGGCAGGACCCAAACTCCAGAAATAACGGGGCATGGGCAGGGGGCTGACAAGACAGACACCAAGGCAGGACAAAGCTGCAATGTGCAGAAAAATCCCCCTTGAGAAAAATCTCACTCGGGACTCCATCGCCCACCCTCTCTTCCAACTCCTCTTGCAGGCCCTGGCACCTACACCTTACCCAGGCTGATGGGACCCAACACAGCCTACACAACTGCCATCACGATCGCTTCAATGCAGACCTCTCTAGCGTGAGCCATGCTTCCCTTCTTTTCCGCATTCCCTAGTGAACCTTAGGTGTTCTTCTCGTGCGACAAGGACTTCAAAGCCCACTGCATCCTTGCTTAGCATGGGCTTCTGTACACCAGGAGCAAAGCCAGTGAATCCACTGAGGCATACTCTAAGTCCTGGTGATGGAAGCTCCACAAGGTATCAAGGAGCAGGAACAGAGCTACTTATCACAGCCAGTTTGGACAGCGTGGGGATGGAACAGTGGCTTCCAAGCTCAAATCCCAAACCTCCCCTCAGACATCAAGTATTTAGGCACAGCCATGACAAGAGATGATGCAGAAATACAGTGGCTGTGTTTCTGCCCTCAGCCTAGGGAGATGCCAAGCCTTTGTCCCCAGAGGGTCAGTCAAAGCAGTCTGTCAATTCCCCCATCGTTCTTCCACACAGAGACACTGCTGGGAGCTGCCACATTTAACAGAGAAGCAGCTGAAGAACCAAAGTCCTTGGTGCCGCCATTCCTGCTCTTCTTCCCCTCACGTTCTTCCTCAAACTCGGAAAATAACCACCCAAACTAGTCCCAGGAGCACTCGGCTGGCATTTTGACACAGCCGAACAAAGGCCAGCACCCCCCGTTTCCAGATCTGGACCCGGCTGAGCCCAAGGGCATGGAAATCTCTGAGGGATTCCAGGACAAGACCTCAGGAAATCTCTTGCCAGCACGGGCGTGTTGGGCAGGAGGAGGGCTGTGAAAGCCGAGGGGGAATGCCTCAGTCCTGCCGAGGGCACAGGAGGACAGGCAAGCCAAAGAAGCGAAGGCTTTGAGCGGTGACAAGCACAACGCCCGGGCACTGGGCACAGAGCGAGACAAGATGGAGGACGCAGCCGGGCAGCCTGGTGCTGGCTGCAGTCGGTTCCAGCCATTTCCAGCCGGTTCCAGCCAGTTGCAGTCGTTTCCAGCTGGTTCCAGCCGGTTCCAGCTGGTTCCAGCCGGTTCCAGCGGTTTGCAGCCAGTTCCAGCCCGTTGCAGCCGGTTCCAGCCGGTTCCAGCCCGTTGCAGCCGGTTCCAGCCGGTTGCAGCCGGTTCCAGCCGGCTTCCCAACGCTCCCAGGCGCTGCTGCTGCCATGGCGGCTGCTAACGGCCAGGCAGAGCAGGGCGCGTGCTGAGGCGAGCTGAGGGAAGGGGGCGGCCCCCCGCGCCCTGGGGAGGAACCCGTGCCAAGGCTCGGCTCCGTGGCTCCTGGAGAGCCCAGGGACAGGGCAGGGAGGAGCTGAGAGGGGCAGGGGCAGCCCTCCAGCCCCGACTCCAGAGGAACTTTCCAGAACTTTCAGCATTCTGCAGCCTGGGCTGTGGCACTGAGGCACAGCCATGACAAGAGATGAGGCAGAGCAGCAGCGGCCGTGTTTCTGGCCTCAGCCTGGGGAGATTCCAACCCTGTGTCCCCCACAGGGGGGTGTGGAGCTGGGCCCTGTCCTTGGGTGATAGCGTGAAAGTCAGTCAAAGAAACTCTCTAAGACTCAATTTGGAGTTTTCGAAGGCAGGCATTCTTTATTTGCAGCACTGGGTGCCCAACGGATTGCTCCATCTAGTGTGTGTGCCAAATTGTTCATGCTACAGGGGTAATTCACATATGTAAGCACTGAATAAATTTCCAATAAATACAGTATTCATACTATTTCCTGACAATCAATAAAACCTTTCAAGTTTTCTGGCACCCTGCACGCTGCTTTTCCTTGTCCACAGGGGGAGATAGGAGCAGGCTTACCGCCCCAGGGGTTGCAGCTCCTAAGGATGAAGGGCGCTAAATCCTTTCTCCTGCTCCAGAAAGTCCGAAAGGCCCCTTGGGCACCCAGAAACTAATCCTTGATCCTCAAATCTGGCCCTGCAGCTCTGAAAGCTGCCTCCCCCTGCGGGAGGAGCCCAACTTCACCTTTCTTAGCCTTGGAAGGCAAAGTCAATGAGGATGAGCTTGTCTGCCTGATATAGTATAAACTCACTTTAGGATAGAATAAATCTTGTGGTTAAAAGTTAGCAAGGACAAAGTAAACGACATCTTGTTATCTGTAGACCTTTTGTTATGTTTAAGCATCTTGTTATTTGAAAACATCCCAGTATCTGTTAACCGTTAGTCAGGCTGAGACTTGAGATAACTTGAGTCAATTGTCTTGTCTTGTTAACTGAGACTTCCTGTTATCTGCCGACCCTCAGTTAAACTGAAAGCCAACTCAGCATTTTTACAGCTTGGAAAACAACTGATTAAGCAAAGGTGAAAAGTGCATTACGAGGAAGACCTACGGCCTTCCTCCCAAAGACCACTGCCCACATCCTGGAGACCCCGGCCCACAATTCTTGGAAGGCTTTGCGCAAGCGCAAGGACTGATAAGCTAATTAGCATACGAAGCGAGGGTAGGCGGGGTTATGTAATGAATATGTATGGATGCTAATTGAATATTCATTTTCGCTGTATAAATATGAGATATTTTGTCACTTCGAACATGCACGATAGGCGGAAGGATCCCCTGTGCATCCAGCGCTGCAATAAAGAATATACCACTTAAAGAAATTTTGGCTTTGATCTTTAAATCATGCCACTGCTGTAGCTGCTCACAGTCACAGGGCACAGAGAGCTGCTGTGGGCAGGCAGAGCTCATGACAGACACTGACTCCAGGGGGGCAGCTGCCAGCTTTCATGGGGGGGGCATGGCGTCATCATGGAAATGTATTACGAGAGCATAGAGGCTTCGGGAGCCTGGGAGATGGCATGTAGGTATTTAGAGCATATATTAGAGCATATATTTATTTAGGTATTTAGGCACATTTAGAGCAGCAACAGCCATGTTTCTGGCCTCAGCCTGGGGAGATGTCAACGTTGTGCCCCCCAGAAGGAGGCAGACCTTGGGGACAGGTCTCCATCTCCAGGCTGCTCTGCTGTGGGGTGCGAGTGGGTAGGGAAGGCCCTGAGTGCTGTCACGGCACAGCATTGAGCTCTGATGGCTCTTTGTGGGGCTGGCATCCCTCCTCAGCCAGGAGCTCCATAGCCTGCAGCTGAGGCGTGCTCCTGGGGCAGGGTGAAGGGAGCAATCAGGATGCAAGCCCCATTGGGTTGAAGGCAAGCAGGTGAAAAGGTGCTGGCAGAGCTGGCTAGACAGCCGGACAGCTGACAGACGTGCCCTTTGCATTGCAGGGCTCTCTTCTGGCGATTCTTTGCTGCGGCTTTAACCTTACAGAAAAGGCACCTTCCTCGCTCACACCCCTCTTCCCTTCCTTCCCGTTCCTCTCCTCACAGCTCAAGAACAAACACGGTCTTTGGGAGAATCTTTTTTTATTCCACT